AAAGGGTTCAAAAGAGGGTTACTAGAATGGTGCCTGGGATGGAGGGGTTGTCACATAAGGAAAGATTAAGATTTCTGAAATTTTCTTTTAGAAAAAAGAAGTTAGAAGGAACCTGATTGAGGTGTTTAAGATTGTAAAGGGAATTGGTAGTGTTGATGTATTGTCTTTTTTTATACTTAATGGTGAGAAATGTAGGACTAGAGGCAAAAATATAAATTTTGGCAAGGTAGGAGTCATCTTCAGCTAAGAAAGTTTTATTTTTCTAAAAGGGTAGTCTTCCTATGCTGTAGAGGCAGTAAATTTAAGTGAGTTTAGGAAAAAGTTTGATAACTATATAAATGATAGTGGCTGGCTTTAAGACTTTTTTTTTTTCTTTAATTAAATTTATGTAGTAGTTTTAGTTTAGAGAATGGGAAAACCGAAATGGCCCAATAGATCCCTGAACATTGTTATATTTTTGTTATGTCTTGTTTACATGCAGAAAGCAAAGTTGTAAATCACTCAGCAAACATGTAGCTCACATTACTGTATCAAATTACTTAATGCAAAAACTGCTCCCAAACATACCTTATGAAGAATTTTAATTTTTTTCATTATCTTGTTTTTTCTAACTTAAAAAGTTTTTAATCTTTACATTTTTGTAACTTTTATAATAGTAAATAAAGAATACATATGAACAAGAAGAAATACAGTATTTACCTGAGCCCTTTTTTTTTGCTGTCAACTGTCGATGATGCTTAAGCCTACTTTTTTTATACTAATGGTACTACTACACTAAATAAATTTTTATTTAATTAAATACTGCATCTAGGAACAAAGAATAATAATGTGCAAAAAGCAAACAACATCCTATAACTATCATAATTTTTCTGGCTTTCTAACTAAGCCAGTGGTTCTTGAACATTTCAGGTTCGCATACCACTTTTTGTTTAATTTTTAAAAATTACAAACCCAGGTCTAATTAAAAAAAAAAAAAGATAAAAACTTAGTAACAAAAATTCATATGTTTAACACTTACCCATTAATTTGAAGGATGCGATTGATATTTCTGGCACGATTAAGAATATGTGGTACAATTTTGTCGATTTTAAGGGGAAAAAATACTGGCGAGTCTATGTAAGTAGAGGGTTAGTCTATAAGTGAGGAGAGTAGTATGCATATGTAAGTGGAAAGCTCAGATAGGGCTTATTACAACTTTTATGATTTTTTATATTAATTGTGTTGTGTACCACCAATATTAGCTCCACGTACCACAGTTTGAGAATCCCTGAACTAAGCGATAAGAGCCTTTTAAAAACTCAACTAAGCATACCAATGTGATTCCTGTAAGAATAAATTTGAAAGTGAATGATGAAATAGACGATGCCCTGTACAGAAAACAACATAATATAATATGTCATTTAATGGATTAAAACTTTGATCTTCTACTGATATAAACAACTTAGTACAGAACATCAGAGAGAACTATCAGCAATTTGTCAAAGAGAGGATGTGACAGGTGGGCATAGTGGGTTTGATTTTTTAGTTTATGGCTTTATAAACAAAGAAGATTGAAGACTAGAAAAATGCTTTGCCTGACTAATATCTATATCATAAGTAATTTATGTTAAATAGTGCACTTCTCAGAAGGGTAGTAAATAAATAGAGAAGAGGGAAGATCTAGGGAGAAAATGTTACAATTCTCATACTTGGGGAGATTGAGGATTTTGTAAAATATTTCCTTATAGAATTAAGCACTTGAAACTTATATAATATTAAAACCTGATTTAGTAACTACATTTTGATGTCAAGTTTATTTGCATATAATGATAATAAAGTAGTTTAATTTAATTTTGAATGTAACTTTAAAAGTTTGTGATATGCGCACTTTGACCTCCCCATTGCAAAAGGGTTAAATTATTTGAAGAAGATTATTTTTTCTGTGACGTTACAAAATTCCAAACTCACATGTGGTTAATATAGCAATTTGTTTAACAACAACAAAGGTTCTGGTGTGTGTGTTCCATATATATGCCCAAGTCAGTAAGAGTCTAAGTAATGATGACAACAGGTTTGTTCATAAAATACAGATATGCTTATTGAGGAACATTTTACCAAACTGAATGTTCAAGTTGAAGCTTTTGTAACTCACAATTATCTTTAAGTAATATGATCTGTATTTCAACTGGCAGAGCAATTTATACAAGATATATCCTAAAACAAACCCACACTGTATTGAAACTTTCGTTTTAATGAACAAAAGTGAAAAGCAAAAAAAAACTTTAAAATATAGTAAATGAAAACTAACCAAATAATAAACCTACACCACTAATACCAACAGATTTAAATAGTAATGCACTTAATTAAATTCTTTATAGTCTTTATGACTACAAACAAAATGTATTTTGTAATAAAAAAAAAATTCTACATATAATATGAAACCAAAGATTAGTCACAATACTGAGATGAGGCAGATAAATAATAATTAACGAAGCTTGATGCTCCCATGTTTGAGGCCTAAATTATTATATATATATAGTCTCAATAACAAAAGAATTATGCAGTGTTAAAGAATTTCAAAAGCACAACTAAAAATTAAATATGAATAGAATTTGTTCTTCTGGAATAAGAAACTATTAGGCCAGTGATGAAGTAATGGGTGCCACAGTTTAAGGTAGTTATATGAACTTGATATTTTCTTCACTGAGCTTACTCTATAACAAATTAAACCATTACTGAACAGAGGTGACAGTGAGAAATACTTATCCCAGAATCATTATTATTAGGTTACAGAGAAAGACAGAAACGTCCTATGGAATCAAGAATGAAGAAGAAAAAATGGACTACGGTCCTGAAGCTAAGCTACTTTTTGAAGCTATACAGGTATTTAATTATCTTCTTTTGAATATTAAACTTGATATTTTCTTCACAGAGCTTACTCTATAACTATAGCTGAAGCAAGATTATGGTTGATGAATTATATAGAATAATTTTAATTTATAAAAACATGAAACTGGTCTTGCAAGCTACTGACACGTGGGTCAGAATTAAGCTACTCGTTCAGCAAAACGCTGGTATACAGATTACAGTATGCTCCACTAAAAAAGGTCAATAAAGTAGTCACTGATATTAACAACAGCTACTAAGCATTACACATTCTGTTATCAGCTCTGTCACAAACGTGATTGAATGAACTCAGTGTTTTGTTTATAATTAGAATATTATTTGTGGGTGTCAAAATAATGAACCTTTTACAGTCTTTTTTTTTTCAATATATATCTTATTTTTATATCATACGATTTAAACTTAAAAATACATATTTAACACATCTGATTGACAGCGTGTCACCAAATGTCCTTCTGTAAGTTCTGTCTAACTTTGTCAATTCTGAGCTTAAAACAATCAATCATGGATGTTTTACCACAAGATATCTCCTAATCAAATACAGTTAACAATTATGGAATACAAAATGAGACCTAACCTGTTTAATGCATATTCAAAAGAAGATAATTAAATACCTGTATAGCTTCAAAAAGCAGCTTAGCTTCAGGACCATAGTCCATTTTTTCTTCTTCATTCTTGATTCCATAGGATGTTTCTGTCTTTCTCTGTAACCTAATAATAATCAAAATTTTTAACTTCTTCACCAAAACACCACCACATAATAAGTGTTAGCTTCCCTAAGGTTTCTAAAAACTATGGCAAAATTCAGTACATTATGAATTTATAATTCTTAATATGTATAATGAACTCACATTTTTGGAAGTTGACAGGTAGAGGGCCTCAAAATATTTATGATAAAATAAATACAGCACATTTCATAAAATATTATCAGTGTATATGCCATTAGTAAAAAATTGCAACTAGATATGCAATGCATCAGACATGTATGTAAGGACATGTTATTTGCATAGATAGCAGTGGTGAACATGTGGCAGTGTATTAAGGTAGGCTCATTTTGTTATAAACTGGTAACATTTTGTTTGGGACAAACTGTATAGTGAGCAAACTTCACAAGTTTTATAGCATACTAATAACTGAGCTTGTAAGTAATAATTCAAGCAAAATAAAACAAATGGATTAATATAAAACAAAATCATATCAAAAATAACAATGAATCACAGAAGAAAGGAAAAATAAAGTATCAGGTTTCTCATTAACTAGCACTCTCTTTAAAGAAGTGTGTCACATACACAGAGAATTAATATATAAATATAAAACTTTGTACTTAAACACGGGCAACAAGAAACTGCAAGACAACAAAACTTGCAAAGAATGTAACAAAACAAAATTTTGAATTAATACCTTGTAGCTAAAAACTTTGTAAAAAATACTAATTAAACTAGCATTAGTGTTTTATTAAATTTTGCCAACATTACAATGACAGGAGAGAAATATCAACAAGTTTAAATCTGTTGTGACTGATGATGGATTCATGCTGGTAAAATGAAAGTTTCATAATAAAGATAAAGACAGTTAATAAAACAAAAACATTTTTATTTAGAAAACTTCAAATATTTTTCAGCACTATCTGGAAATATACTATTTATACTTATTAACTGATGTTATAAAAACATCAGTTACTAATTTACTTAAAATATTCAGTAAAGAGGTAAACAGAAAAAAGTACATATTATAAAATATGTAACAGAAGTAACAAACTTACAAGTTGTAAGAAGACATCAAGCTATAAATATTAAGTATATTTAACAAATAGCTGTGTGCTAAGTGAAGTTATTTAGAATTTTAGGTAACCAACACTCCTAAGTTCATGGTTTGTATGTAAGTGTACACATAGTAACTATAAGGTCACATAAACTGGCAAATATTATTTCCAGTTTTCCTGAAGATAGAATCATTATATTATGAAATGTTAAAAGCTTTTGTAAATAAAAATGTTTCTCATCATATCAACTGTTGCTACTGATATTGGTAAGGAGTTTTAGCTCTTTATGGCAACAATTTGTCCAATTTCAACTGATATGTGAGAAGATTCATTACAAAGGAAATCATAAGACACATTTCTAAAGATATTAAAATATTAATGATTCTCCAGATAATTACAGTGCTTGTATTTTCAGTTTCTCTAGATTTAACACACTTGCAAAGATTAAATACAGAAATGACAAGCCAATGAACCTTTATGTTTTGCATTCCTAAAACATGGATCAGTGCAAAATGTAATCTTGTCAACTTTCTGTTGGTTGCTGTTGATAGTAGATCATAACTAGCTTATACTTTTATTCAGCTACTGGCCATATTAATATACCTTATATTGATCTAATACTTCTAGTCAATAATATGCATGTCTCCTATCACATACTAAAATGAACATGAATCTATGCCAACCTGTATTAGTTGACTTTGCATTTTCAAGAGTATAGAACAAAGTTTGTGGAGGGCTTAGATTTATGGATGACTTAACTAAAATAGTTTTACACATTTTAAAAACAAAGATAAAAATTTTCTTCATTTTATAATTCCATATGCACATAAGTTCATGAAGTATTCAGTGACAATAACACAGTATGATACACAAATTTCTATCTTCTAAAACTCACAGATACCAATATCTTCAAATTCTCAGAAGATGCAATAGTCAAAAATAATTCATTTGGCCAGTTCCATTCCATTCCATTTTCAATGCATAGGTAGTTGTAGTAAATTAGTATTGGTAACTATTTACATATTTTTTCTTTCAGATATCTATATAACTCCACATAAAATAACTGAATAACCTTCAATAAGCCACTACATGCTTCTCAGATAATGACAAGTTAAGTTATATTTTTATACCCTTTTTACAGCACTTTTGTTTCCTTGCCTTTCAAAGGTTACAATTACATGACCACTACTGTCAAAAAGCAGCTTTCTTATGGAAAATACATAGCATCATGATCTAGCAATAGATATGAAGTGTATTACAGCAGCTCACCATAATATGGAAAAAAAGGGGGTTAAAAAAACTGGTACTATGCAAATGACAGATGCAGGAAAAAACATAATTTCACTATGGACACATCACCGAAAGTCCTGTATTACTGAAAAAAAAATACTAAAGCAACATACTTTTTAGTGCAGTTATCACAACAACGTTCTCTTCCACCAATATCTGGTTTGTCTTTTCCTTCAAAGTGAGCAATTAAATTACGCCTTCGACAGGAGGTGATGTTGAGATATCGACTCATCTTGTTAATCATTTCTTGCCTGTGCTCCAAAAACTTTGGATTTTTTATGGTTTTAAGGAAAGACCTATAAATTAGGAAGAAATAAAATTTTGATGTTAATAAAGAAATAGTTTCATTCACTATAACTATCTACAACTATTAAAATTTTAAAACTATCAAATAACTTAAAAATACTTATTTGCAGTAAAGTTTCTTTCTAACAGATATCATTTATAAAATTTTAAGCTACACAAAATAAGACTCAATAAATTAAAACTTTATAATGACAGTATTCTATAAAAACTTCCTAATCAGTTCATAAATTATCAAGATGATTTTTTTTAATTATTTGGCCTTACACAATGAATGTTTAAAAATCCATGACCAATGGCTATAATAAAGTTTTAGGTGTCCAGTCTTAAAGATGCAATACCTATTCACCATGAATCTTTACATAAAAAACAGAAGCATCCATTATAATATGTGAAAAAATTTCAAAATTGTTCTGTAATCATTAGTTATAAGTAGAAAATTTAACAATAGTTTGATACTACAGTGAAACCAATGTCACTAAAAGTTCATGGTAATTATTTATTAATTTTTAACTTAATTAGCATGATAAAAGTTAAAATTATTACTGTTTGCATAAGAAGATTAAAATTTCTGAAAAAAATCAACTTTTTATCAACATGAATATTCAAATTCACATTCCCAAACAAGTTTTTATATTATGTAAACCACTTACCTGCTTACAATAAAATCTTTTTGTGCATAAAATACTTGACAAATACTTGGCAATCCGTCCCTTCCAGCACGGCCAATCTCTTGGTAGTAGGACTCAATATCTTTGGGTGCTAATGTAGAAAAAATGCTACTGTAAGAATCCATTTCCACCTGACACACATTATTTTTCTAACCACTAAAAGTAAATTTAGACTAATATCTATCATAAAAAAAGAAAAATATATATTTAGACATGACATAAAGAGGAACAGTTGTTCTGATGGCCAAGTTATATAAAAACAAATTGACAGAGAGCTACCAGTGATTCTTTATACAGCAAATTTATGTGTAGTTGGAAACAACCTTAAGTTAAATGTGGAAAAAAACAACAACAGTATCTGTCATATATCTTACAAAGTAAACCAAAACTATTTCTGCCATGTTTTCTAATAAAAGTGCAGTCACTTTTGAAAAGACAGTATCTACTTTACATGATATCCAAACTTCCATAATATTTCACTTGTTTATCAACAACAAAATAAATCGGGGGGAATGTGTCGACTGTGAAATTTATATTAATTTCTTTATTCATGTTTTAAATAAAGGAAAGAAAATGCAGTAAAATTTCCCTTTATGGGTGCTAAACAACTGATTAAAAAAAGAGAGAGAGAATAATGTTTGGTGTAAGTATAAAATGTAGGTCAAAGTTAACAATCATAAAAGAAAAAATTAAAGTAAAACATGAAATAATTTTTTTTGTTTACTTCTGATGGGGAAAGGGTTACTAAGATATATTAGGTGCTCTTACTCTCATTTATGTGACAAATGTTCAACTGTTAAGACAACTAATCTTAGATGTGAAAGGTCATGTTTGTCATCTTTAAAAATGTTGGGAGATAGATTGCAGCTTTAAAAATGTTGGGAGATAGATTGCAGCTTTTCGTAAAATTCAGACAAATATTAATTGCTCAATTTTTAACTTGATAACTTTTTCTAAATTATAAACTAGAATATGATCATATTCATTACTTTTCTATTTTGATTAATTTTTTTTTTGTAATACGAGATTTTCAAAATAGAATAAAAGACTCAGGGAGAGGGTTTATCGCTCCTCTCAGTTGTTGAAAATTACTTTCAGGTGGTGCTTTTTGCCCCCAGAACCCTATGAGGCTGATCCTGGACCTGCAAGGGTGTCTAGGCAAGTCCTTTCATACACACACCCCTCTCTCTTCCTACCTTTTGAATCTTTTTAGTCTCAACTTCGGAAGAACTCTGCACAGATTTAGATTTATATCTGGCTATGAATAGAAATATAGGGTCAAAGAAGTGCTTGTTGGCAAAAATTTTGGCTATGAAAAAATTACATCAGGCTGACCTTAGGCATATAAACATTTAGTAAGAAAGGTAAAATACAACACTATTGATTTACAGGCAAGAATAACAGCAATTTTCTGGTATTTTTGTGGTTTTAAACATTTGTTGGATAAGATGAACACAATAAATGGAAATAATTAAATTCTAATAGTGGGCAAAATTCCCATTTTATAGACCCTTATCCTTAACATACTCACCTCCATAGTGAATAATCCTTCGAACATCAGGTTTATCAATCCCCATTCCAAAAGCAACAGTTGCTACTACTACCTAAATAGAAGAAAAAGTTTTGTGCCAGATCAATACTGCAAAATTATTTATCCAAAATACAAAACTCTCAGGATGCCAAAACAGTCAAATGAAAACAAACTTGAAGCATTTGAGACAAGGTAGCATATCTGCCTAAAACATTATCAGTCACAGTTTCAAACACCTTTCATCTTAATTTTCACCTCTTCAGAAAAATTCTTACTTTACAGGACCTTAAATATTTTTATGTAAACCACTTAATAGCACTAGTTTGTTTCACTTCATTGTTTGACAATAAATACCCTACCAAAAACTTGCACATCACAGGTTCAATAATTTAAGTATTTAATATTCAAGCTTGTTTTGAAAATATGTAAAAAAACAATGAAATCATATTACTGTGAAGAAAAATAAAACTGAATACTACTGCACTTATACTTGCATGATTGAGTAGTTCAGCACCCTTTTAATAAACACTTGTGTATTTGTACAACTGCTAAAACCTGAGTTACTCAGTTACCCCTATTTTTTTTCTAAATCTTCTATAGATGTTTTTGGAATATGCTATGTAATGAAACTAACAAGTTATGAACACATTACATGATGAAACTAACAAGTTGGGAACGCAACAGTGATGAAATGAACAAGTCGGGAGCATGCTATATATATTATGAATAACACGTTAGAAACATGTTAGAGGAAGAAACTAACAAGTTACGAGCATGCAATGTAATGAAACTATGAAATCAGGAATATTAAAGCTAGCCATAAAGTATGCTGATGAGATATTTTAGAATATTTATTCTAAAAAGCTTCTAAATTTTCACTATAAAGAGCCACAATAACAAATGAGAAAAAAAAGGATTAGTCTTAGCTAACAAGTTGTGTTTGAAACGGACTTATCTCTCTTTGGACAAACAAAACTACACTGGTTGTGTATCATATAAGTTGTACATTAACCTCCATTTTGCAAGATAAGACTTGTTCAAAAAAAAAAGGACAGATGTTTGAGGACAAGGAAACATATAGAAAACACCTAGAGAGAATACTTTTTATAACATAACTGATAGATCTGTCTTTATCATTCAAAAATCTTTAAAAAGTTATAATAAATAACTTTAAAAACAGCAGCATGATTTCATGAAAAACAAAAAAATGTAAAGCAACTGTAAGAAAAAAAGTGAGCAATGTTTCAGTCAAGTAAGCTTCACTCCTGCAGTTTCTTCATTCAGGCATATTATTTTGTAGGTAAGTGTGTTTGCCATAACATGAAACTTATTTGGCTGACATTATTATGTTTATTTTTAAATTACATGTATAAATGTTTAATAAAACAAAAACTAGGAAGTCCACATACTGTTTTATCATCAGGATGACACTGCTCAAAAAGGATTTTAAAGCATCATTTGAATAATATTTTATTTGAAAAATCTTGGCTTACATACAAATATTATTGTTTTTTCTACACTATGTACTATTTTCGACCACGCATATTAACATTTGGGAGAGTGAAAATCATTTTGATCAGAAAAGAAAAAAATCTTTGACTGAATTAAAAAAAGCCTCACCTGACCAGAACAGTGTTAAAAATTACAAAACTTATAAGGATTATTGAAACAATAAAATTTGATTCACTTGAGTGTCTTTAAAAAAACAAGAATATATAGAATTATAGGAAATATGGTACTAACCATTCAGAGGCTTGAGAAACAAAAAACATTACTTGATTTACTTTCTGTGGTTAGAAATTTACAGATCATACATATACTTCTGTACTATTATAAGTGTTGAATAATTTAAAACACAATATATGGGTCTTAGATAATTGAAAATAAAATTTAGTACATACAATAATTTACAAAAAGTTTGCCAAAACATTCAAAATACCATAGCACTTAGACCTAGATCTCTCTTTAAAATGTTCTTTATAATTAAGTGATATTAGAACAGTCTGCTTACTACAGCACAATACTAAACTTAAGTAAGTTTATACTGAAGACCACTAAAAATTATGCTTCATTTCTTTACCAATCTTATACGGGAAACATTTATAATCTTTGTATGGACATTTTAAAGATTTCTTTTCTTTTTCACCAGAGGTGAAATTGAAAAGAGAATCATTATCACATAACTAAATTTATTTATTTTACTATATGGTGAAGTAAAATTGACTCCAAACCTAATAGATACTTATAATCTTTTTTTCTTCTTCTTGAATTTCACACAAAGTTATTAGAGGACTATATGTGTATGCTAGCCATACCAAATGTTGAAGTAACAGATTAAAGAAAAGATAGCTAGTCAATACCAATCACCACCAACTCTTACGTTATTCTTGTGAGATTGAACATCACTCTTATAAGGTATCAATGTGTCCAAAATGTGTTTTGTTATTGGCAATAATAATATACAAACAACATAACCATGGGACCTCGCTCAGGTCACCTAATCTTAGAATTTTGATTTTCATAGGATTTATAATTAAATATCACGTGCATGAAATAATAAGTTACTGATTCTCATGATGATCTTCATGTTGATTTTGTTTCACCTTTAGTTAAAATTTACCCCAAATTATAGGTACATAAAAGGCAATAAAAGAACATACCAAAAATAAAGTCAACAGTTATAAACAAATCTACCTGCCAAAATATAAGATTTTGTACAAGGAAAGAAAAAAATACTGACAAGATAAAACAGCAAGAAATTGATAACTACATACAAAATAACACAATTTCAATCTTTTAAGAGCCTTTCAAATAACTTTAAGCATCCTTATAAAAGTTGATTTATTCCTGTTCAGTGACAACGTTGAATATTCAGTCAGTTTTTCTGAGAAGCTATGGACTCGCAAACCCAAGAGTAGTTATATCAAATAAAGTCGACAACATTTTAAAGACATGTTTGTCCTTCTAAATCATTCAATTTTACTACTAGCCAAAGCTAAACATTTTGGTAGATGCTAAAATTCACATATATAGAGGGAGAGAAAAAAACCTTTAATAAGTTCAAATATATGTGGCAAAATAACAAGGTTAACTTAAGTTGGGGTTTTGGATTATTTTTCACTTGTCAAATTTAAAAATTTTGGCAATGTTTTGTGGGTTGCAGCTAGTATACTTATAATTATTCTGTTCTGCTATGCTTAGATCTTAATTAATACAAATGTTGATAAGATTTTCTTGGTTTTTTTTTTTAATAATGTGTTTCATGTGTTTAATCAGTTTCATTATACACAATAATAAAAACCTGGTGTTTTTCTTTTCAGTTTTTTTACCACCAAAATGAGGTATCAAAAACGTCAAAATTTTCTTTATTTAAAGATGTATGTGTGGCTCTACTAAGGAAATACCTGAACTTGGTCATGCACAAACTGCTGATGTGCCTGAGTTCGTTGTACATTGGTCATTCCTGCATGGTAAGCAGCACAGGACAAACCCATATCTGTGAGGATAAAAATAACGTAAAGCAAAATATATATATAAACATATCCATTCTTTTACTGTAAATAACTGTAATAAGTTTTTCCATACTGCAATATGATTAGTTGTTTCAAAAAACAAAACTTCTCGTTGGTTGTTTTAAAATAAAACAGTAATTCTACCTGATTGTTTTTTCTTTTAAATACTACAAACAACTTATAAAGATTTTAGATTACACTTTTTATTCTAAATGACACTTAATCCCTAAATGTCATACAACAACAACAAAAATTATCTTGTTTACTAATGTTATGATGGAAAAACCATTGGCTGAAACAAGGGAAAAATACAAGAAACTACTTCTGAAACTACAAATAATTTGTAAGTGGTTTAAAAACCAGATGCAGTTACATACTAAATCCTCTCTTCTCAAACTTGACACTATATTTTTATTTATTTATCTTATACAGTAGTCCCTCTTATATATGACAAACATATCTGCCATGATAAAAAAAAAGTTGCATCTGACAGGAAGTTGTTATTCAAAGGATCAATAACCAGATAACAAATGACCGAGTTCAAGCTGTACCAGTTGCTATTCCCAGGGGTTGAGCATAATGGTTTATATACTGTACAGCAATGTAGCAAATTGGTACATTGTATAAATAATAGTTATGGTTGATAACAGTTCAATACAAATAAATTAAAATTATTTTGTTTGTCTTTTATGTCAGATAATTTATTCATGGATCACAGTTATTTCATAAACATCCACATATCACATTTTTATTACATACATATAAAATATTACAAACTGACTCAAAATTTATTTGTAAAAAACCATCCATCTTTGTTTGTTTTGCACATTTAATGGAGTCACTTTGAATGTTCACGAGTCTGGCAGTTATTATATCAAGAAGCATTCTGTTGTTAGTTTTCAGTGCACGATTTTAATATCAACTTATAAAATAATGTGCAATAAGTGTCCAGAGTTCTACGTCAGAGAAAATGGAAAAAAATTGGAAACCAGATTCACTGAACATAATAAAAAAACATAGTTGTATTTACCACCATTGCAACTAAAAAAATCCACAGTATATCTATACAAAATGCTGTAACTTAAAACAAAGAACCAAACATCGGAAGTTACATATCTTAAATGAACAAAACAGCCCCACCCTAAACCAAAATTTCACACTGAAACTTGGATCCTATGATCCTAGCTCTGAAAAGGGACCATTCCAGGAATTTAAATGAGCTAGTAAAGAAATAAAAATAAATATGTGAACTAAATTTTTGCTAGATTCTAGCCAATACCTAATAACGTAATCCTTTCTAAATACAAATACTACATAAAATGTAATATGTTGTATTAAAGCAATTTCAAGGTGATTAAAAATTTCCATGTTTTGTTTATTGTTTTGCTTTTGTCACAGCTTTTGTCTTTATCAACATCCATGTGACGTTTCTATGTCAACACTTCAAGCCTTCTTCTTCTTCCCAGAGACTTCCTGTTCTCAGTTTGAGACATTTGCAGCTTTCCTGGATGACTTGAGGCATTTTATTAGCCATGCTTACTGCACAGATTAGTCAAGTCTGTCACTCAACAAACCATGAGTTAATAATCTTCGCACCCTGCTAGTAAGTACTAATCAAGTTACTTAACATCTAGGCCACTAGTTCAAAATCTACCACATTCACTAAAAGAATAAACCTTAATTCTGTGAGTGGGGCAAAGACAAACAACAGTTTCTGACCTCCCCTGGTTACCTTTCAAGACCTGAAAACTTTAGAACCAAAATACCTAAGTGTATGTGTACCAAGGAGTTTGACTTGAATACCCTAGGGTACCATAACTAAGCTGTAAAGCAATCTCTGGTCATGTGACCTCTTTGTTCCATACTGTATACATTGTATTCATATGTTTCTGTAAATTACATTATTGATATGAAGAAAAGTCATTATAGAGAGGTCGTTATTTGATCGTCCACCCAAAAATCATGGTCATATGTAACATCTGTCAGGAAGTCATTCATGGGAGGTCAGATCAATGTAAAATCATTCTGTGCACAGAAAAAAAGTCATATTTAAAAGGAAGTCGTTAATGGGAGGGGGTCATATTCACCAGGAACTATTGTATGCTATTTCATTATTTTTTCCTTTTAAGTTAAAATACTGCATTATGATTTTTGTTTCTTTAATGTTTATAAATATTAAACAATAAAAAAAAAAGAATGATACAGGGATAATAAAAACATACAAACATTTTCTAAATAACTGTTATTTGCATTTTTTTAAAATTTTATCTCCGTATAATTATTGTTTTTTTATCACAAAAATTATTCATAACCTAACTACTTAAAAGTTTAGGACTTTGTCACTAAGGTATTCTAAACATATTCAAGGTCATACTGAGTCTACAAACATTACAAGTGTTTTTGATTTTTTTGCAGCTGTTTTGCAACAACCAAAATCGTTAAAACGAAAAATATGCTAAACATATGGATTTGTTTTTAGACTTCTATATATTTCTAAAATTTCCAGGCTATTTAGTTTTTTACCTTATTTCACTGATGATGCCCTTGCTGGCAAAACCATGTTAATAAATGATGTATTTGTGAAGCATACCACCGTTTTTGTTTTTTTCTTCAATTATGGAGTTTCACCAACTAACAGTTTTATCAATTAACAATTAAGGTTTGATGGTGGTTATACTAATGTTCAAAAATTGCAATAAAACATATATATACCTTGAACTTTTCTAGCAACTAATTCTGTGGAACTTCTAGTGGGACAGTAAATAATTATGGCACCATCAGATACTGTTTGTCCATCATGATTTCCTAAAATTTTAGTCAAATCTTTCTCTACTGAAGAGCTTTTCATAAAAACTTCCAAATACAAGTTTGGTCTAAAGGACAAAAAGAAAGCAAAACAAATTTACAAATGGCCAATATCAAAATAATATTAAGTTCAAAAATATTAGTTCAGATGACAGTGATGTAAGGTATACTATGTAATGTTTTGTTTGTTGTTTACATTAAAAGTATTGGTTAGAATGTTAAATATGTCTCAATTTTATTATTTTTAATTTTTTTCATTATACTTTTGTTATAGATCTCTATGTTTTACATTGTTAGCTTATATTTGTATATCAAACTAACTTTAACCTCCTAAGCTGGCCAAGTCTAGCAAAATATTATTGGGTTTATAGCCAAAATTGTTGTTAACAATGAAGGTACCAAACTGATGAAACAATGCATTTTAATCTTTATATGCGAGACCATAATTATATTTAATTAGCTATACCCACTGCCAGGTTGCTTTTTAATTTTTGCTCTAAGTAGGTAGCTTGCTCTGATCAGAAGTTAATATTAATTTGTAAAAAGCTGTTTGTTATTTGATTTATTTAATAAGAAAATTTGACTTATACATTCTTGTTACAGTTTACTTGTACTTTGGTACATTGAAACTATATCTGAGTGACAAATCTGTGTTAAAAAGCTTATTACCTTGTTTGCTATTGATCCATTTTCACTATTATTAAATAAAAGCAGAAGTTTTATTTATTTTTTCCTCTCAAACTCCTTATGAAAGTTTTACACCAATATTGTACAAGATATAAATATACTGTATGTTCATTCTGTTATCTATAGACAGACCAGTAACAGCACAGGCTTAGCTATTATTACACAAAGATAGGTTACCACAAACTCAAATTCTGTAACTTGTGTATTGAACAAAATATGCATAAATTTACTATAAAACGGCTTATTTCTTTAAAATAATTTCAAAGACTGTTAGAAAAAATCAGGATCCCCCCAAAAATGTCAAGTATGGTCAATATTTTCTTCAACTGGCTTAAAGATTTTTTTTAACACTTATTTTAACACTCTTCTTACGGTATTTGTAAACTGCCATTTTTTTCTTCATTTTCCAGATTCTACTTTTATATAGTTGAACAACATTACCTGTCAAAGCTGGAGCAGGTAATTGCTGGATTTTTTAACCTAAGCGAAGATATAATGTCTTTTTTCACAACAGGTGTTGCTGTTGCTGTCATCGCAATAAATGGAACCTATTCAAATGAAAGCAAGTGTTTATTAACTCGTTTCAGAACAACAAAGTCTGATAATGCCTTTTCAATGTCATATAAAAAAAAGCACATAAATAAGAAAATAAAAGAAAAGCTGTCAAAAATAACACATTTATACACTTATCAAAGGATAAATACTTATGTTCACAATTAGAAATATATAGCTCTAAATACTAAAGACAGCCCATCCCGTCTCCATTTGAATGTAGTCACAGCAAGTGCATGTATGCCAGCTTGAAAACTACTATGGTTTAGAAAAATATGTCTTTGTATTCAGATAATCAGATAAATTTTTAAAACTTTCTGTATAAGTATTTTGCATTATCCCTAGGTAGAGGGGATTAGTCCTTTGGACCCACCCTGTACTTGAAGAAATAATGTTTACAATAATTCCATATTTACTACATATATTGTAAAGACATTTGCCACATGTAAAAAGTCTGTTGTAAACAAAGAAAAAAGTAGATTTTGTACTAAAAATTTGTCTATGAATTTACAAATTCAGTCGGACTCAAACTAATCTGAGTGCAAGGCAATTTAAATGTTAAGAATAAATACACTAACTGTAACAAAAGTATATGTAGCAAAAGTTGAAAAAGTACAAAATAAAATCAAAAGTATATTTTTTCTTTCAAGAATGACTGTACATTGTAAAAGACAATTTAGACATCTAACCTTTAGACAGATACTTTCATTTTATTGTTTTATCCCTCTCTGAATCATGTCTAACACAAACTAGTGTAACAAAACAATAAATTACCCAATAAGATCATAGCTCAAGTTATGGTAAACAAAGTACTGAATAACATAACGAATAAGCAACTTGCATGCATACCATACAGAGAAATTTTTTATTTACTTTTTTTCATTTAAATTTTACTGATAACTTTCTAACTGTTACATTTTAGTTACTTTTAGAATAATAGATAAAAGAAAAAGATGATAAAAACAAGAAATTTAGTATTTAAATGTAGGCTCTTGAAATCAATGTCTTGTCAAAACTTAAACCTACTTTTCATAGGTTGTTCAAAATATATAAAATGTTTTTAAAATTCAAATATGCAATGCAGAACACAAAAAATTAGCACTAAAAAAATGCCATGTCTGAAAAACTATCATAATTTAACTGGCTTTCTAACTAAGCTATAAGTGGGTTATAAAAATTTCATTAGCTGGTCAAGGTGATCTCGGTGATAGCAAGAATGAAACTGTAGACTGAATAATTCAAAAACTGTTATAAGAATGAGTCTTATCAGTGAATTAATATCTTATCTTTATATTGGTTATAAATAATCCAATAGCAAGTGTCAGTGAGAATTACTGAAATTTTTCAAAAGAAAACATGTAACAGGAGAGTGTGGAACATGGGTTTGACTTTCTGGTCTACATGTCAGTAAAGTGAGAAGACTGAAGGCTTTAAGTTTACATTACATTTTAGCAATATCTATACTGCAAATAATGTGTAATTTATTCCAAAATCAGGAGATCACACAGGTGTAGAAAGAATAACTAAAATGGGCAATTTGTAGCAAAGTGTCATGTGATGCACAGAAGTGAAAATTTTATCTAACTATTTCATAAAACTATAAGACATGACACACAAACTTCCATGGTGCATTAATCCTTACCTGAGATGAAGGTTACATACCACAGTGACCAATTCATGAAGCTTACACTTGCTTCACATACTTTTGTATCATCCCTGGGGTTTGTATGTCACATGCAAGTGAAGAGGAGATACCAGATGGCCAATCAGATCAGAAAAAAAATCACCTGTCATCACAAAGATACAAGTGATGCACTTTGATAAAAGACATGACACACAAACTTACATGGTGTACCAGGTATGTAGCCAGGACTGAAATCAAGTGGATGTTGAAGGACAAGATTATACAACTTCCTCTGAATATGTATAATGAAAATAATCCCTAATATAATTAAGGATTGTGGGAAACCACACTAGGAATTCTATTGGAGCTAACAGTGTGGTATACTTTGTGTCTTTTTATGGAGTGCAGCAGTGACTCACTGCTCTAAAAGCAGTTATTCTACAAATAAAATGACATCAGCCAGTATTTTTAAAGCACCAATATTCTTAAATGTTAAATAACAATTTCTATTATTTTATGTTTTGCACACGTACTTGTCTTTTTCTTTACTGTCAGTTTGATTTATTCTTTATAGAACTTTTCTTGAGTCAACTGTTTATTGTGGATTTTGATTAGTGAACCTGAATACCAAGCAAGTGCAAGATGAATGTCCTTAAAATATAGGAGACATATTTTAACCATAAAGCATGAATGTTTGTTTGTTTTTTAATTTTGCGCAAAGCTATACAAGGGCTATCTGCACTAGCCATCCCTAATTTACCAGCGTAAGACTAGAGGGAAGGCAGCTAGTCATCACCAACTATTGCCAACTCTTGGGCTACTCTTTTACTAACGATTAGTGGGATTGACTGTCACACTATAATGCCCCTATGGCTGAAAGGGCGAGCCTGTTTGGTGGGACAGGGATTCAATCCCATGACCCTCAGATTGTGAGTTGAGCATCCTAACCACCTGGCCATGCCGGGCCAATAAGGCATGAAAAAACAATGTTCTAATAGAGTAGTAAGTATAATGAAGCATTACTTAATACTGGAAACCAAACTTGTATACTGATAATATTTTTATATAAGAAAGAACAAAAAGAGTGGTTCTTAATAAATTACCTTAAAAGTTACATGAGTAGAGCTATATTTAGATATTGTATGCATATTTGTATGCAAACTTAAAATGCACATAACAGAACTACAAAAAAACTTCTGTATAAGAGAAGTTAATCAGAGAAACTCATTTGCAGCATTCCTTTGGCTCTACCAACCAACACTGTTTAAGTGCTAAAGAAACTGCTATAAAACTGTAAAGTTTAATTTTCAATGCTTCTTTCTTCCTCAGCCATCTTACTTTTATAGCTCCAAGTATAATGTAATTAACATAAGTTGCATGAAGTAAAGTCTACATTTCTTTTTTGTTCTTGTCATTTACAGTAAAATTGTATGTGAGCATATTTTGTTTTATTATAATGGTTTCTGGAATATGTATTATTTATAAGTTTTTTTCCTTACTGGTATTTCCTTTCATTCAATTGATTAAATTTTTATTAACTGAAAGATGATCAACATGATATTTGGATGATGCTTGGAGCATTCTGTATGCCTTTATCTGACACATCTAAGTTGGAAGTCTGTTCTCCAAAAACAATAAAAATGATCCCCAATCTCAATTCCTAGAATTGTTTAATTAAAAAAAAAAAAAGAGCATTTAAATAATTTTCAATCTTCATTTTTTCCATGTCATGTGACACATCTGAGCTCTGATTTCTACACTTCAAAATTTTCTAACTTCAAAAATAGGTTGCCGCAGTTTTCAATTAATCAGATTGTTCATCAAAATGGTATTTTAAATATCTTTTCAGTACCATACAGTGTTTCATTTTATAACAATATCTATGTAATGACTGAGTCACAAGTTCTTGGAATGTCTAAGTATCATAACGAAAAGTTTGGATCTCTTGTTCTTCTTTCTTCTGCTTCTTTTTTATTACATAATAACTCAAAAACCAAAACAATGGTGTCAACCATTTTCACTGAGGTGACATATTTTCAAACAGAGTATCCGCATTTACAAGTATTATTAATAAAAAATTAATTTAAGACTCACGGCTGTGAAAACGTAGGTTATTTTACTAAACATTTGGTCGAAACAAAATTATGAAACATCTAATCAAACAAGCAAATAAAGTGCAATAGTAATTATTAGTAAATAGTTTAAATACATTAGTTGAGCTAATTTCAACAGAACTTTCTGATGTTTAATAAGATATCAGGAAGCCTGGAAACAGTAGTAACTGACAGAGTATATGATGAACACAAAAAAAAAAAGAGAGAAAGGAACATGCCATGTTTGTCGCCTTTGTGATCCATTACCCTCATGCACTGTACCTACGATGCATATTAACTACAATAGAAAGCATAAAAGTAGTCAGTTGTCAAATTAATAATAATAAATAAAAAGTTGTGGCCACATCAGGGCCGAGTTTTTCACAGCATCAGGTCTACAGAAAAAAAACATCATTTTAGTGTAAGTGGTGTCACCATTACTCCTTGCAGTTAGCTTTCTTACAGAAATTTGGTGTTCCTTTAAAGAGCTTAAGTACAGGTTGAAAGTGGAATTACCAGCCAGTAATAGAAAAACAATAAATATTACAGTTGGAACCTCACTGTATTTAGAACTTGGTTATATATACAATCTTCCCATGTCTATTGAAATACTGCATTAAAAGAAAAACAACCAAACAAATAACTAAAAACTTTTCAAAAAGGAAGTAAATGTAGGGATGGTTAATATCAATCCTTCAAAAACAATGCAAACAAGATAGAAGGAATGGCATTTGAAGGATTGATATTACTCATTCCTATATTTACTTCCTTTTTTGAAAAGTTTTTTCTTTACCTGTATACTACTAAGATATGGATTATTAGCTATGCTTTTATACTATATATATTATTCTACCATGATAATAAAGTAGTTTAATTAAATTCTGAATGTAGCTCACTAAAACCTCGTGACATGCACAGAAAAATATGCCCATAGTGAGAGAGTTAAATAAAGTTGCATCAATATGAGTTTGCTTGTTTGACCATGAACATTTTCTTCAAATAGAACAAGATTCATTGATCCAATGCATAATGCCTGCAAGAAAGTATTGCTTAAATGCTGTGCAAGAAATTGATAGAATAAGGAAAGTCCAAGAAAGGGCATGGAAACTGCCACAAATGTTTTGTGGGTTGAGGCTATATATTAATACCAGTACTGTTTTTCTCTCTCTCTCACGTTTTGGTGATTATGCTTTTTCTGTCTATGCTCCTAAGCTTTGGAATACTCTCTCTATCTAGCTGCAATGCACAAAGTCTGTCAGGTTTTTTAAAGTCTTTTGAAGTCGTATCTCTTTCACTTGGCATCTGACTAATGTAGAGACTGGTCAGCAACATGCACTTTGAATGGCTGACATTGGCTAGAGGGGTGCTGTATAAAAAATTAAATTAATATACCATGCCAATATGGCAATACCATACCAAGAAGGTATTACTAATACATGCCACACATCATATACACATTTGTTTTTATACTTTACTATTTCTTTTTGCAGGATCTTCTCCACTGAATCAAGGGTTGAACCTTCAATTAGTGATGCGGGTTCCCACAGCAGAGCAAAGCACATACCAAGAAGGTATTACTAATACATGCCACACATCATATACACATTTGTTTTTATACTTTACTATTTCTTTTTGCAGGATCTTCTCCACTGAATCAAGGGTTGAACCTTCAATTAGTGATGCGGGTTCCCACAGCAGAGCAAAGCACATACCAAGCACATACCAAGAAGGTATTACTAATACATGCCACACATCATATACACATTTGTTTTTATACTTTATTATTTCTTTTTGCAGGATCTTCTCCACTGAATCAAGGGTTGA